TTTTGTTTCAAGCATGTCTTATTAAAACATTTTTATGATGGCTGCTTCAAACTCTGTGGCGATAATCTTGATATCTTTGTCATTGCAGTGTTGGTGTCTATTGGTTTTCTTCTCTCATTCAAGTTAAGATTTTTTTGACTCTTGTTACGAAGAGTGATCTTCTATTGAAACTTGGATGTTAGGGGTGTTATGTTGAGACTCCGGATCTTACTTAGAACTTCTTACTAGAACTTAGAACCTCTAACACAGATCTGAAAGGAAAGGAAGGGTGGGGGGAGAGGGAGAAAGGTGCTGCCTTATTGCTGCCTGGTAGGGGTGGAAGTCTGTGCCTCTCTTGACACCGGCAAGGAAGTGACTCCCCACCAGGACTCCGTGGGGCATGACGGCTTCATTACTGTTCCCCACGTGACCCCTGCTGACATTGTGAAGTGGGGGTGGTCTTGTTACTGGGTGGTGGTGAAAGCCCTGACTTTCCAGTAAGCCTTCTTGACACCCTCCAGTGGGGAAGGAACACTTTTTTACTTCTGAATGGCGGGCAGGTCCAGGCTCCTCCCATGGTCCAATGGACACCATTGGGGGGGTCCCCTTATTGCCTTGTGGGGATGAGAGTCTCAGTGTTCTACTTTCCTTCTCTGACACCACTCAGGTGAGTCTGTTGGGGTACATGGCAAGGGTAGAAGTCTAGGCTCCCCTCACTTTTTCACTGATGGAGGTAGGGATGGAGCCATAGTTTTCTCTGTGGTATTTGCAGTAAAGCCATTACTGTCTAAGCATTTTCTGTCTGGCTACAATACCCCCTTGTCCTTTGTCTACAGAGAGCAGGCTTTTGTTGAGGCGTTTTTTGGTCTGTGCTTTCTGGCATTTCCGGATTGCCGCCTCCCCAGCACCTCATCGGGGATATTGGAGGCAAGAAGAAAGCCCAGGGAAGGCACTGTGTATTGTTCCTCAGATGCCTAGTTCCCGAACTTGTTTACCTATTTCTCTCCACTTTGTGTTCAGTCTTCTTATGTTTGTTTTTTTTGCATAATGTCCAGAGCTTGTAGTTTTACTTAGGGGGAGGAATACAGAAAAATGTGTCTAGTCCATCCTTCTGGAAACAGAAGACCCAATGTTTTCTAAAAGCAGCCTGGATGATTCTAAAAAAGTATAGTCAGAGTTGAGAACCTCTATCTGTTTGACATTGTAGGTTATGGCAGGGTCTTGGTTTCTATTTCCGTTAGGTTTGGGACTATTTTCAAATAATTCTAACATAAGTGGATTTTCTCTTGGTCAGCATTGGAAATACTTTCAAGAAGAGAACAACATCTTATTCTTTGGAAGGCAGCTGAGCCCAGTGGCAGGCTTAGACTTTTGGATCAGAGAAGCTGTATTATAATCAGAATTTTGGTAAGGTTCTTATCTTTTTAAAAGTCAATAAAAACTAATTCATGGTATTTTCAAGATTAAACATGTAAAAGATATATCACAGAGCAAGACCAACAAATAATATATGTTTAAATATTAGCTCTTTCTTCCCATGGCCGCGTTCAGTGTAGCACTTGTATATAGTGATTACGGAAGCTAAATATTTGGGCTGAGTACTTGTATCAGAGGGCTTACCCTGAAAGCCTTTTAACCTTAGACTCAGTAATAGTCAGAAAAAATAGTTCTGGGGAAGATATCATTGTAAAAATAGAAATGTGGATTTTTTTTTTTTTTAATTGATCTAGGGCAGAAGGTATACAGGGTAGCGGTGTAAGTCAATAAGAATGACAATTGACCTTGCAAAAAAGAGGTAAAAATGACTGTGGTCTAACTGAATAGGGAAGGAAGTAAAACCATAGCAGGAATTAAAGAACTGGGCGAACACTTAGAGGTTAAGGGCCTGGAAGTTTCATTAAGCAACAATTCTCCCTACTTCACTTTGCCATTTTCTTTTGAGAGTTCCCTTTCTTTCCCTATTCCTTAAATATTGGTGTCATTTGAAGCTCCAGCCTCCTCTTCCCATGGGTACTGACCCTGGATAATCTTGTCCAGTTCAAAGTAGTATGAAAAAGCTGAAAGATTCCAATTTGTATCTTGAGCTCAAATCTCTCCCTTAAGCTCTAGACTCATGCAGTGGATCTCTGATTATCCATGGATGTCTCCCTTTGGGTGTGTCCCTGGCTTTTCAAGTTCAACATGTCCAGATTCTACCTCTCATTGGTGTTCTCTGTTTCATTAAATAGCACCCGCATCAATTCAGATACCAAAGCCAGAAACTCCGGTGTCATCATTTTCGGCAACAAGCAACTAGGAACTCCTCACAAATTACATTGAGCACTAAGGGAAGTAATGTCGGAAAGAGGCCAAAATAGGTCAGTGAGGAGCTAAAATCACCTCTGCACTTTCAAAACTCATACCCCCTGACCATCCGCGTACGTTACGGGATACCTGATGGAAGTGTTAGTCTTGTCCTTAGTGTCTAGACCAGTTATTGCCGGTATTTGAAATTTTCCATTTCCTATGCTTTCTAGAACATCATATCCTCTCATACTGTCTGTGTTTTTGCTTTTTCCTTTAAATTTTAGGGTAATCACTGCTGCAAGTGGCGCTCTTCCTGTGTTAGTTAGGATGAAGAATATGTTAGAGTAAAATCTATAGGAACAAAGGTTTCTCTCTGGCTTCTGCTGCATGTCCATTGTGGGTTGGCTGAAGACATTGCCCTGAGTCGTTTTCTTCCAAGTCTGAGTAAGGCTGATGGAGCCTCTTCCATCTGGAGAGTTGTCTGTTGCTAGGCCGCTAACAAGTGGGGAAGCAGGTATTCCTACACTGGCTCTGAAAGTTTATTATCAATGGAGTCATCTTATAAAAGCCAAAGGATGTCACATTACCCTGCTCAACTTCACGTAGGTTGGGAAGTGGAGTTTTACTCTATGCCAGGAAGGCAGAAGACTAGAGTAGCTGCTGGACGTCCCTCATGACTCACTCAAGCCTCCTCTGCTGGCGACTTTCCCTCCCTTTCTTTCTCCCTCACTTCTTCTCTCCCTCTTTCCCTCCTTCCTTCTCTTACTCCCTCCCTCCCTTCCTTCTCCACTTCCTTCCTTCCTTTGACCTATAAATGACTCAAAAACATTCCTGGGAATGCCACAAAAATGGGAAGCTAAGCACTCAGTACTCAGGATGGTTGCAAGTATTTAAAAAAGAAATTGACATTGCACTCTAACTGCCCAGTTAGCGGTTCTAAGGACAGCCTGACTATGCACAGTGATCTAAAGTACCACAGACAATAGAATCGGGGCCTGAAGAGACTGCAGGCCACATTAAAGTTTCAGCACATACCCAAAGTGCATCTCTCAGCCCTTATCCTGTAGCTCTGGGGCACCGATGTTCGCTATTCGTTGCATGAATCACCATGGCAATTGATAAATATAAAAATGCCGTGTATATTTTTCCCTTGAGTGTTTTAAAATGTTTGGTTCTGAAGAATCCCTTTTGCTCTGTGTGACTGACTCTGTCTCTCTCTTTCGTTCTCTCTCTGTTTTTCTGTCAGATCTAGGCAACAAGAAAGCATTTACTCTTTTCTGTAATTTTAACAGCTCTTTAACAGATCCAATACATTTGAAAACGTCTGAAAATTTGACTCCTGACAAAACAGGACTCCATAGTACATTCGCTATGTAGGCATTTACGTCAAATCAGTTCCTTTTGTGTTTTCCACATTCGCACGCTCACATTCACTGCCAGCACTGTGTCTCCAGAAGTGAGAGTATATCACAGCCGATGGCCAGTTTCATACTGTAATGAGGAACAGCCATCTGTAGATATGAACTGGGACACCAGCCTCATCATAGACCACTTGCTAACATTAAACCAGTGCTAAGAGTTAAGCAGAATGATAGAAAGGAAATTCATGTGTGTGTGTGTGTGTGTGTGTGTGTGTGTGTGTGTGTGTGTGTCTATTTGTTCCTCCACTCTGCCCCATGTCCCCAGATCCACGCATCTCCATGGGGTGTCCCAGTTATTTGCTGTCAGCACCAAGTCACATCCATGTCCCTTATATTCTGGGGGGACCTCCCGACCCACTGTGTTTGAACTAGTTATCCTACGACCATGTATTAAAAAAAGAAATAACCTTACAATCATTTGAAACAAATGCCAATTATTACTTTTAAAAAGCTACCTGCTTTCAATTAAGCAGGAAATTATCTAAGAAGCCACTTAATTTGCTTTGGTCCGTAGTCCCCCAACTGCTTTATGCTGAGTGGAGCATGAAATTAAATATGTAACAACTCTCCTAATGGCTGTGTTTCAGAATGCCAACATTTTAGAATCTTAGGTATTCTGAGTGGGAACAAATACAAATCAAAGAATATGAGAATTGAATTTGAGGGAAAAAAATATTAATGCCCTCTATATATTTGCATATAGATGATATGTGTTTTAAAACTGTAAAGTTTTAAAGAATGTATTTGCTATTAATTTTTATATTCAGGAAGGGTAGCAGTTCATATATGGAAAAATCTCTCTGACTTAAAATAAAATGCCACCAGCCCCCCTCCCCCTATGGAAATTCTTACATCATTTCCTTGGGTCCAAATGCAAAGTAGATTATGTAGGGATAGATTATGCGAGAAGGTCATAATGAATTTTTACCATTTGCTGAAGAAATGCTAATACCAATCCCTCGTTCGAAGTATTCATCTTTGTTAAGAGCCAAGAACACATACTGAAACTGTTTATGGAGACATATAAGGGCACTAGTTTATGCAGGAAATTTTAAAAGCATTACTGAAGCGACACTTCAATCAGTACTTAACAATGTTGTAAATGCTAGATGGTTCTCACAGCCTCTTATTTATTTAAAACATTTTTTTACAACTTTAAAACTATTTTTATACGAGATAAATCTTTTCAAACACTAATCATAGTACAAGTAAACATTTTAAAAATCTCTGTGTAAATGCGGATGAAAGCGTACATATTCTTTTGCAGTCTGTATTCCAAACCAACTCTTTTCTTTATTTCTGTTTTAAAACTAGGTTAGACATGCTGCCATTTTACCAGGAAATGTTGACAAACCTCTAGCAGAATGCGACCGGATATCTCTTCCCCTCATGGGCGAAGCCAGGCAAGTTGGAGCTGAGAAAGCGTGCGTGGCCCTAACGTTACCCTGACATTTGTTACCTCACTCTGAGAATGCTTAATATTCTGGTTTCTTTCCCCCCAATGTAGCTATACTCAGTGATATTGTTAAAAATGGTTCCCAGTTTTAGAAAACTGTTATCTATAAGAATTCTCTGAGAAGCTGCAAAAAAGATATCATGGCAATTTATGGGGTTTGGCTACTTTTCTGGAACCAAAGTTCTGCTGCATTTGTTCTTGAGCTTTTTTTTTGATCAGAGAAAGAGCGCAGACGTCGGTCACAGAATCCTGATGCCACAATCTGTGTGACCTACAGAGAGCTACCTAACCTCTCTGGGCCAGAAGGCTCTAAACTGTAACACTGTTTTGCATGCACAGTGGGAAGCACGAGCATCATCTATGGGAATCATGAGGACCGCGTGGGATACGGTAAAAGCCTCGCGTAGAGTGGCTGGCACAGAGTAGGGCCTCATTATCACGATTTCCATGCCTTAAGTTAATTGGCGGAAGGAGCATCTCCTCTTCCTTCTCTGGTTTCTGTCCTGCTGTGGTGGCTCTCGACGGGCACTTCATGTCTGTTATCCCATTTATCCTCCCAACAGCCCCGTGAGGTAGGTGTCGTCATTATCCCATTTTACAGCTGGGGAACTCAGAACGCAGGGACTGGTGGCAGCTTACTCACCATTTCTGGCAGAAATAAGCAGACGAGGGTGGGATTTCAAGTTCAAGAGCCTTCTTTTTTTTTTTTTTCTTCCCTCCCCTGAAACTCAACCAAAAGTTTTCCCTACTACTGCAATCTATGTGCATTACTATCAGCCTGCAGAATATTTGCCCACTTGAACCGCGTGTCTTTTGGTAGGGAACGCTAATGACCAGGCGAAGGGGGATTGGTCTAACGCTATGGGCATAGCCGGTTTCATTGCATTTGCTGCATTGCGCCTTGCAGATGTTGCGGGATTTTGTTTGTATGTGTGTGTGTGTGTGTGTGTGTGTGTGTTTTGTTTTGTTGGGTGTTTTTGTTTTGTTTTGTTTTTACACAAGGAGGGCATATGGCAATCCTGTGTTGAGCAGATTTGTTGGCACTGTGTTTACAAAAGCATTTGCTTACCTTGTGTCTCTGTGTCACATTTTGGTAATTCTCACAGGATTTCAGGCTTTTTCACTATTATTATATGTGTGGGGATTATCTGTGATCCAGTGCCAGTATAAGATGGTGAACTTGACTGATAAGTGTTGTGTGTCTTTTGACTGTTGCACCAACCGGCAGTTTCTCCACCTCTCTTTCCTTCTTTGGGCCCCCCTATTCCTTGAGACACAGGACTATTGGAACTAGGCTGGTTAATAACCCTATAATGGTCTCTAGTGTTTGAGTGAAAGGCATAGTCCCATCTCTCAATTTAAATCAAAAGCTAGAAATGGTTAAGCTCAGTGAGGAAGGCATGTCAAAAGCCAAGACAGGCCAAAAGCTAGGTCTCTTACACCAAAAAAGTTAGCCAAGTGGTGAATGCAGCAGAAAAGTTCTTGAAGGAAATGGAAAGTGCTGCTCCAGTGAACACACAAATGATAAGACAGGGAAACAACCTTCTGGCTGATAAGGAGAGAGTTTGAGGGGTCTGGACGGAAGATCAAACCAGCCCCAATAGTCCCCTAAGCAAAGCCTAATCCAGAGCAAGGCCCTGAGTCTCTTCAATTCCGTGAAATCTCAGGGAGGTGAGGAAGCTGCAGAAGGAAAGTTGAAAGCTAGCAAAGGTTCATTCGTGAGGTTTAGGGAAAGAAGCCGTCTCCATAACACCCAAGTTCAAGGTGAAGCAGCAAGTACTGATGTAGAAGCTGCAGCATGTTTTCCAGAAGATCTAGCTAAGGTGGTTGATGAAGGTGGCTACACTAAACAACAGATTTTCAGTGTAGACAAAACAGCCTTCTACTGGAAGGAGATGCCATCTAGGATTTGTAGCTAGAGTGGAGAAGTCCATGCCTGGCTTCAAAACTTCAAAGGACAGGCTGACTCTCTTATTAGGGACTAATGCAGCTGCTGACTTGAAGCTGAAGCCAATGCTCATTCACTGTTCCAAAAGTCCTAGCACCCTGAAGAATGATGCTGGATCTACTCTGCCTGTGCTCTGTAAACAGAACAACAACGCCGGATGACAGCGCATCTGTTTACAACACGGCTTGCTGAATATTTTAAGCCCACTGTTGAGACCTACTGCTCAGGAAAAAAAAAATTCTTTCAAAATATTACTGCTCATTGACTATATGCCTGGTCACCCAAGAGCTCTGATGGAGGTGGACAATGAGATGAACGTTGTTTTCATGCCGCTGACACAGCATCCTTTCTGCAGCCCATGGATCAAGGAGCAATTTTGACTTCCAAGCCTTATGCGTTAAGAAATCCATTTTTTAAGGCTAAACTTTTCACAGTGATTCCTCTGATGGATCTGGGCAAAGGAAACTGAAAACCTTCTGGAAGGGATTCACCCTTTTAGATGTCATTAAGAACTTTCATGATTCATGGGAAGAGGTCAAAATGTCAACATGAAGAGGACTTTGGAAGAAGTTGATTCCAGCCCTCACGGATGACTTTGAGGGGTTCATGACTCCAGTGGAGGAAGGAACCGCAGATGTGGTAGAAACATCCAGAGAACTAGAGTTAGAAGTGGAGGCTCCAGGTGAGCCCGAATTACTGCAATTTCATGATCGGACTTTAATGGATGAGGAAGTGCTTCTTATGGATGAAGAGCAGAAGTAGTTGCCAGAGGTAGAATCTCCTCCTGGTGGAAGTGCTGTTAAGACTGCTGATGGGACAGCAAGGGCTTTAGAATGTTCCATGAATGTAGTTGATCAAGCAGCGGCAGGGTTTCAGAGGATGGATTCCAATTCTGAATGAAGTTCTGCTGTGGGTGAAGTGCTAACAAACAGCATCATGTGAAATTGTTTGTGAAAGGAAAAGTCGGTTGATGCAACAAACTTCATCGTTGTCTTTTTTTAAGAAATGGCCATGGGGGCGCCTGGGTAGCTTAGTCGGTAAAGGGTCAGACTCTTGGTTTCAGCTCAGGTCATGATCTCACAGCTTTGTGGGATCGAGCCCTGCCCTGGGCTCTGCGCTGGCAGTGTGGAGCCTGCTTGGGATTCCCTCTCTCCCTCTCTCTCTGCCCCTCCCTCCCTTGTGCTGTCTCTGTCTCTCTCAAAATTAAAAATAAAAAAAAAAAAGGAGAGAGAGAAATGGCCATGACCATCACCACCTAGACAGGATCCCCCACCAGCAAAAAGATTAAGACTTGCTAAGAGCTCAGATAATGGTTAGCATAGAAATAAAGTGTTTTTAATGAAGGTATGTACATTGATGCGTTAGACATAATAATGTTGCAAACTTAGTTGACCACAGTATAGCGTAAACATAACTTCTATATGTACTGGGAAACAAACAAAAAAATAGTCTGACTCCCTTTATTGCAATGTTTGCTTTACCGCGGTGGTCTAGAACTGAACCCACGGTATGTCTGATGTAGGTCTGCACTGTGTCAGTCTTGGAATGGACGGGTTTAGGACGTGGAGTTTGTTCCCAGCCTCTCCATATCTTTGTGACAATAAAAGATAGTATAGAACAGTCCAATTGCATGCATTAGACATATACCACACTACAAAGTTAAAGATAAAAACAAGTGCCTTTCTATAGCTGGGTGTGTGATTTATTTCTACACCAGGGGGTTTAGTTTTCTAATTAATGATGGGGCTTTATGCACATGTACATTAATGTTAATGAATAATGTGTGTGTGGCGTAATAGATTGCTGTGCTAACACATGGTGCTCCCCACCAGGAAGCAGATTTATCTATTATCATTTGTACGTGTGATATCACACCTAGGAAATCAGGAAAATGAATTAATTACATTTACAAATGTTTGGTAGAGCAGTCATTTCAAGGGTTAACCATTCCTTAAGAAACACTTAGGGGATGATGTCTTATTAGGAAATAATTGGGCAACATTTTACAAATCTCCACTTGAAGAAAATGATACTCAGTGAACCTGAAGACAGGGCCCAGAAAAACAGAAATGTGACATTTGCAAGTCAAAATTGGCAAAATTTAGAAGACAGCAGGATGTCATCGGACCTAAAGGGTGTGGGACGAGGCTTATCTATCCCAACGTTCACTCCTAAAGGCCTGACACGACCCCAGGAAATAAAATTTCTCATTGTTTCTTTCAGTGGGAAGTTGCGTGGAAAATAGAACAAGAAAGTGAAAATACATTTGGCTTCAGGGAGCAGTAACCAACTCTCAGCTGGTCAAATGTACCAGGTTTTCAAAATAAACTACCCACATCGTAGGATTTACTCTGCGTGGCATGCCTTTCTGACTGAGGGCCGCAGGGACGCCAAGCGTTTTCCTCCCTAGCGGTTCTTAGCACCCGTGGCTGCCTTGCAAAGAGAAGGGAACACCTTTGAATGAAATAACACGTTTAAAGGACGCTAGTGTTTATCTCGCAAGGGGATGCACTCTGAAAGAGCGCTCATCGACACTGTCGAAGTGATTGTACCAACCACAAAAAGAGGATCTGATTTAAAAGGGCCTGTGAGTAAATGTCCTGGAACACTTAGCTAGTTCTCTAATCTTGGCTATTAGGGGCCTAGAGGTCAGTGCTCACTGAGTATATCTTGAATAAGTAGAAGAATTAATGGATAAGTGAATGACTATTTCAAGTCTCCTGTTGGGATTAAATCATTAAAGGCCACGGACAAGGGATGGCAGATAATGGAACACGCATACCCCTTGTCCGTCCTCCCTGACTGACTGATTACAGCCCTCTGTCCTGCTGAGACGGAAGGTAACCTCAGGATCTTTCTCAATACAGGACCCGAAAATATCCCAATCAGCCAAGTGGAGTTCATTTGAGAGAAAGTATATCTGCAACCCTGAGATATTTAGAGATTAATCATCAAAAGGGCAGGGTTAATGATGGGCATGGGATTTATGGGGGGTCTGTGAACCCTGGTTGATCTTGAATATTTATGTTCAATGGACCAGGACGTGGAAGAGTCCAAAGATAGGAGTCTCTTCCCAAAAGAGATGTCATTTTTGTTTCGCAGCACTGCAGTGTGTAATCTCTTGTGTGATAAGAAGAGAAAGTAATGGATAAGAGGAGGATTACACGTAGAGATGACCTGTAATTTATGTAGCACTATTAATGTTATTGCTTTTGGTGTAGCTAGAGAGGGTAGGGATGAAGAAGGAAGGAAAAGGAATATCTTCTGACTTTGTTGGCTGTGCAAGAGTTCAAAGCTGGGCTGGGCTAAAATTAAGATCTCTCGATTTCGAGTACTTCAGTTAGTGTTACTTACTTATCCATTAAACATCTGAGTTTGTATATAATTTGTGAATGTTATGTGTATACTCAAAGCAAGTATGTGGGATCGATACTGGACATGCAAAGACAGATACGATGTGGTCCATGTCCTTGTGGGGCTCCCAGTCTAGTGAAGAAAGAGGCGGGTAAAAAAATAATCACACTTGAATGCGCACATGCTACAGTCGTCCAGGTAACTAGTAAATGTATTGATCACGAGATCATAAGGCCTCTCTCTCTTACCTACCAGTAGAGACTACTGTCTCATGTTCAAATACACATTTTAATGAAAAAACCAAATATATTAGGGCACCTGGGTTGCTCAGTTGGTTGTGTCCAACTCTTGGTTTTGGCTCAGGTCACGATATCCCGGTTTGTGAGTGTGAGCCCCGCATTGGGCTCTGCGGTGGCAGTGTGGAGCCTGCTTGGGATTCTCTCTCTCTCTCTCTCTCTCTCTCTCTCTCTCTCTCTCTCTGCCCCTCCCCTGTTTGTGCTCTTTTTCTCTCAAAGTAAGTAATAAATAAACTTATATCTATCTATCTATCTATCTATCTATCTATCTATATCTATAGATATAGCTGTATCTATCTATAGATATAGATATAGATAGATATAGATATTCAACTGTTAAAAAATTTTTCCGGTATATCACTTTATTGAAATGTATACATGAGACATATAAATAATTTTTACAATAGAATTTATGCCTGCAATTAATTCACACTGTGCATTGTCAGCAATTCATTTAATCATAAATGTTTCAATGCTATGATATGATGACTGCCTTAAAAAAAAACTGAGATTTTTCAAGCTTGTTTTAAGACTAACTTAAAGTGCCATTCACTCCTTCAACGTGTAATTTCTGAGCAGTTGCTATGGCCAAACACAATTATACTCTGATGGAACCGTTTACAGTCTAAATAAAATCTGCACTCGATGTTACTACAGGGAAAAAAGTAGGATGTACCATGAAAGTGTTGAACTGCAACAGAGTGTTTGTTTCCCCCCCAAATCCTTAAGTTGGAAACCCAATACCCAAGGTGGTGGTGTTAGGAAGTCGGGCATGGGAGGTGGTTATGTCCTGAGAGTGGAGCGCTCGTGTATGGGATTAGCGCCCTTATAAAAGGAGCCCCAGAGGTCCTCCTCACCCCCTTCCACCATGTGGAGCACAGCAGAAGTCAGCAGCCTGCAGCTCGGAAGAGGACCTTCACTACAACCAGACAATGCTAGCACCTTCCAGCTTCCAGAGCTGCAAGAAAGAAATTGTTGTTTATAAGCCACTCAGTCTGTATTACAGGTGTCATAGCAGCCCAGTCTATCACACAAATATATACTGCTCGAGTTGAAGGTAGAGGGGATAACTTCTAGCTTTGTGAACGAGGGTGTGGATTCCAGCCAGTTCGTTATGATGGCACATGAGTTAGGGCTCAAAGGAAAAAAAATAATAATCCGTCTGCCTGCCTATCTATCTATCTATCTATCTATCTATCTATCTATCTACTATCTATCCATATACACGCATA